GCCTTTAAAGTGCCCACTGGCCTTTTGTGGACCGGGGAGGCGGGGGGGGGGGCTGCAGCTTACCTGGCTGCTTCTTGCTCTGACTGAGGGCTGCTGGGAGCAGGGGGTGGGGCTTGTTGCATGTGCCTGCCCCCTGGGCTCTTTACTGCCAGAGCTCCACTCCTGTGCGCTCCTGCAGGAAATGACCCCTGAGGAGGTCCACCAGTGGGGCCAGGTCATTAGAAGCCCTCCCACTGTTGACCACTGCAAATACAACCACTGCACTCAGGGGCTGTGTGCTTTTGACTAAGCCTGCTGTGGTGGGTGGGGAGGAGCAAAAGTGTGTGTCTCTGGGGGGGACACTGTTGCCCTGATACTCCATTCCCTGGGTTCCTTGGGTTCCCTGGGAGGCATCTGGTTGTCCAGGATGCTGACAAGATGGACCTTGGGTGTGACCCAGCAGAGCTCTTCTTCTGCTTTTAAAGTCCCACTACGTAGAGAGTCACCTTGGTGAACCAGAGGAAGTCCTGCATGAGCAGACAGGAGTAGGTGTCATCTATCTCCACCACAGGGACCTGATCCTCATGCGTCACCAGAATGTTGTCATCTTTGTAGAATAGGGATGACAGATAGAGACCCCTGGGAGGAAAGAAAAGACATAGCTTGGTTAGGAAGACGGTTCAGCGTGGTGGGAAATCCAAGGAAACAGAGAAGTTTATTTTCCATAGTCTGAGAAATTCTTGAGCGGAAATGTAGGAAGGGTTGCCCTCACCCTACTACCCGGGACACTCAACCAGTAAATAGGGTGGGCATGCATCTATTGTGGGAGGAATGTGCATCACTGTTTTTCGCCGCCTGCTTACCCATCAGCCCTCTTACCTTTTCAGCGTCTTTAAGAATTTGCTCCCAGGATGGAAGAGATACTTTAGGCTCTTGGAGACTGAGTGCTTCCTGTTCTGTGGCTGGTTCTTGCAAGATTCTGGGAAGCAAAGACAGCTCTCAGAAGCTGCTGTGCATACCACTGCCACCCCATCATCGCCATTCGCCAAACCACCCTTTCACAAAACATGCAGGGCTTCGTAACCCAGATGGATCCTGGAAAAGCCTGAAGAAAACTGTCATAAGGATGTATGCACTATTCAAACCCTCTGGCTGGAGGCGCTTAGTAAGAACTCACTGGTCTTTTGTACCTGCCTTTGTAAACGTTTATGTATCTCGGAGAACTGAAGTCACAGACTTGACTGGCTATTTAAAATCAAGACCCTGACCCACATCATCTCCCTGCCTACTATCTAGAGATGAACAGGTTGCTTACCTGTAACTGAGGATCTTCAAGTGGTCAGCATTCACACCTCTGGGATATAGTGTGCCTGCGCCGACCCCGATCGGTATAATGGAAAGCAAAAAGGATTTTCGCGCCCGCTCCCCGGTCACGTGCCAGGCTCCACTGCGCATGACCAAGTGAGGGGCACGACAATCCCGCCAGTTCCTTCTGACCGCTACCCTCAGTCTCCAAAAATAAATAAATAAGGAAGGACCGAAAGCAGAGGGGAAGGAGGGTGGGTGGTGTGAATGCACAGATGACCACTCGAAGATCACCAGTTACAGGTAAGCAACCTGTTTATCTTCTTCGTGGTCTCTGTGCATCACACCTCTGGAAGACTGACAAGCAATGCCCACCTACCTGGAAGAGGGAGCTGAGGTCCTAAACCTGCGCCGCCTGCAACACCGCTCATCCCACAATTGAACGCTGATGAAGACAAACATCGAGGGCACAATGCCTCACAAACGTGTGAGGCGTGGCCCAAGTAGCTGCGTTGCATATATCTTCCAACGATGCACCTCGCAGGAAGGCTGTGGATGCTGCCACTGCCCGGGTAGAGTGTGCCCGTAGCGGACCCGGGCGTGACTTCTTGGCTAGGATATAGCACAACTTAATAGTCTCCACAATCCACTTGGATAGAGGTTGGGGCGGCAGCTTCTTCCCTTGAGAGGGTGGAGCATGAGAAATAAGGCCAGAGATTTCCTAAACGGCCGTGTTCGATTTAGGTAAAAGAGTAAAGCTCTTTTGACATCCAATGAATGAAAATGGCATTCTTCCTCTGTTGAGGGAGATGGAAAGAACACTGGAAGCACAATGCCCGCTTGCAGGTGAAACGCCGAAACAACTTTTGGCAGGAAAGAAGCATCTGGAGCCAACGTGACCCCACTAGGCCGAAAACTCAAATACAGTGGGTCACAGTGGAGTGCTGATAACTCGCCCATCCTCCTAGTGGAGGTGACCGCAACTAAAAATGCGGTCTTCCATGACAACAACTGCAGACTACAGATAGCCATTGGTTCAAATGGTTTGTCCATGAGCCTTGCAAGAACCATGGGTAGATCCCACGCTGGCGTGGGTCCACGTGACAGGGGGAAGAGGTGGGTCAGACCCTTAAGAAACATCTTGGTCTGGAGATGAGAGAAGACAGAGTGACCATCAATCATCGGGTGATTTGCCGAAATTGCGGCCAGATAGACCTTCAGTGAGGCACAACTGAGTCCTAGGTCTAAACGAGAAAATAAGAACCCAAAGATTACCATCAGGTCGGAAGGTGGAGGTGGCAATCCCAGCGAGGTGAGGTAAGACAATTCAAAAGGGCTCTTTAGCGTGGAGAAACGACGACTGAGGGGTGACATGATCGAGGTTTATAAGATTATGCATGGGATAGAGTAGGTAGGGAAGGAAGTACTATTCTCCCTTTCTCACAATACAAAAGCTTGTGAGCACTCAATGAAATTGCTGAGCAATCGAGTTAGAACAGATAAAACAAAGTACTTCTTCACCCAAAGAGTGATTAACACATGGAATTCACTGCCACAGGAAGTGGTGGCGGCTACAAGCATGGATGGCTTCAAAAGGGAATTAGATAAGCGTATGGAGCAGAGGTTCATCACTGGCTATTAGCCACAAGGTATAGATAGGGGCTCTGGGGCAAGTGATGCTCTGGATCATTCTAATTGAGATCAATGAGTTGCATAATTTAATTCAAGGTTCTGCGGTTGGGCAAATTTTATCTTGCTATAATTTTAAGCTTTATAAATAGACATACCTTTTTAATGCTTTTAGAAGTTATTTATTTTCCACAAATTTTGTAGGATTGTTTTACCCTAATGGCAACTGTTTAATATTTTATGCCAATAAAAGGTATTTGTTGTTGTTGTTGTTGACTGGATGGGCCTTTGGCCTGATCCAACATTGGCGTCTTTTATGTTCTTAAGATAAGAATTTCTTCCTCTTCCCAGCATAAGAGACTCAGGCAGATGGTCTGCGATAATTCAATAGGACATGATCTATCCTGTCTCTGACTGATCAAAACGGATCCTTCAGATCGTGAGCTTGAGACACTTCACATCATGATGCAGAATCCAACCCTTCTCCGCGAGAAGGAGGTCGGCAGCTGGAGGAAGGTGAACGAAGGAGCCCTTGGATAGGTGAAGCAGAGTGGAGAACCAATGTTGCCGGGGCCACCACAGTGTCACTAGGAGACAGCGTGGTTTTTCCTGCATTAACTTGACTAATACCCTGGGTATTAGAGGAATCGGTGGAAAGAGGAACACATGCAGACGTGTCCACGGGACTAGAAGACCATCTCCCAGAGATAGGAGATCTATCTCCGCTCTGGAGCAGAACAGACAACATTTTCTGTTGCTGCGTGTTGCGAACACGTCCACCTCTGGATGGCCCCAAAGGCGAAAGATTGGGAGAAGGTAAATCCAATTGAGCTGCCACTCATGCTCAGGTGCCCCTCCTCTGCTCAAGAAGTCTGCTTGGACGTTCAGTGTTCCTGGCAGATGAGCGGCCCTTAGGATTGTGTTCCATGATCGACACACGACCCATAGTTCTATGGCTAGGCGACATAGCCCCCGGGAGATCGTACCTCCCTGTCTGTTGATATAACACAGGGCTGTGGTGTTGACTGTCAGAACTGTAACCACTTGTTTGGTCACTAGGTGCCGGAAAGACCTGAGTGCGTACAGCACTGCCAGGAGACCCAGGAAATTTATATGATTGTGTGCTACATGGGACTCCCAACGAACCCCCACACAAAGACCCTGGAGATGCACACCCCATCCCCAGAGGGACACATTTGTAGTCAGTGTTAGTGTAGACGTGGGTGGATGGAATGGGGCTCCTGCTAGGAGATTCACAGGATCTGTCCACCAAAGCAGAGAACCCAAAACGGATGGTGGGAAGACAGGACAAAGGGATTGAGGATGACTCTGTGGGCAAAACCTGCGTACGAACCATAGCTGCAGAGGTCTCATGTGCAGTCTGGCAAAAACTGACATTGATGGTGGCAGCCATCAGACCCAGCAGCCGCTGGATTCGCTTTGCCGTAGCATGCCCAGACTTGCGGAATAGAGTCACTAGATCGACAATGTCCCTTGCTCTCTGAGGAGGGAGAAAGGCATTGCAAACGACAGAGTCTAGGATAGCTCCTATAAACTGTACCCGTTTTGTGGGAAGTAGCATTGACTTCTTCAGATTTACCTGGATGCCTAAGGACGTCAGGACTGTCAGGGTTAGGTTTACATTGGTGAGCAGGGATGCTTCTGAATCTGCTACCAGCAACCAATTGTCTATACAGGGAAATATCTGCACTCCCCTTAGACGGAGGTGTGCTACCACTGCCACCATAACCTTTGTGAAGACCCGAGGGGCTGTGGATAATCCGAACGGGAGCGCTTTGAATTGGAAATGTCTGTTACCTACTGCAAACCAGAGGAAACGACGGTGGGAAGGGTGGATGGAGATGTGGAAGGAAGCATCCTTGAGGTCCAGCATAACCATCCACGTCGCCAGGTCTAGGAGCGGAAGGATGGCCTGCAACGTTGTCTTCCTGAACTTTTTGTATAGGATGAAAGAGTTCAGGTTCCTGAGGTCCAAAATGGGTCGGAGGCCTCCATCCTGTTTCGGTACCGTAAAGTAACGGGAGTAGGAGCCCATTATGTGCTGTGCCGATGGTACCGGCTCTATAGCATCCTTGCTTAGGATAGTTTGCACCTCTTCTAGAAGGATTGCGGAAGGTGGCGTGACAACAACGTGGGAGGAGGAAGGGATTTGGGAAAACTCTATTAGGTATCCCATTTTTATTATTGAGAGGACCCATTGGTCCAACGTAATGAACTCCCATATTGACAGGTAAGGAGACAACCGTATAGGGAGTCGGGAGGGAAGGTGTGAGTCAAAGATTCTGTTTAGTGTTCTCAACAGTTTTGGGTCTAGACAGAGAGTTGATGAAAACTTGGATTTTCCACCATAGGAACAGGGCGGACGACTCGGGGACCTTTGCCAGTGTGGCTCTGAGGAGGATTTAGACGATGGTCTACCTGACCATTGTTTGGACCATGGTTTTCCTTTACTTGGCTTAGTAGGAGGTACGACCCCTAAGCTGCAAGAAGTCTTGATGCTTTTGTCAAGCTCTTGAAGTACCGCATCCGTGGTGGAACAAAAAAGTCCGTCCCCTTCAAATGGAAGGTCCTCCACAGTGGCCTTGGTTTCTGACTGTAAGGTGGAGGAACGTAGCCATGCGTATCTGCGCAAGGCGACTGCAGAAGTGAGAGTCTTTGCCGCTGTATCCAGAGAGTGTTTGAATTCGTTGAGTTGATGTTTCGCTAAGAGCATCCCCTCTGTTTGGATGCATCTAGCTTGGTGCCTACAGTCATCTGGAAGGGATGATAGAAATTCGGACATTTGTTCCCAAAGGGGATACTGATAACGTCCCATGAATGCTGCAAAATTGGAAGTCTTGATACCCAGAGCTCCGGCAGTGTAAAATTTTCTGTCTAAAGAGTTGATACTTCATCCCTCTTTATCTGGAGATGTGGAATGAGTACTCTTGCCCTTGGTCGAGGACGTAACCACTAATGAATTGGGTTTAGGATGCACGAAAAGGAATTCTGCCCCTGATTCTTGAATCTTATACATATGATCCAATCTCTTATTGGATTTCGATACCAATGAAGGATGAGCCCAGGGATCTTTTGCTGTTTGCAAAAGGACCGATGTCATGGGAAGGGCTACCACTGTCGAAGTATCCATTTGTACTATATCGAAGACTGAGTCCGTGACTGGTGGTAGAAACGAAGTCCAACAAATACACTACCTAACTAAAAATACGTTCCTAACCAACTAAACTTGAATAAACGAAGGCCGAAAAGGCCCAAAAGTAAAGTTTCACCGACCGAGGCGGAGAGAGTCCTACCAGCGCGGTGGTCAGAAGGAACTGGCGGGATTGTCGTGCCCCTCTCTTGGTCATGTGCAGTGGAGCCCGGCACGTAACCAGGGAGCGGGTGCGAAAATTCCTTTTGCTTTCCATTATACCGATCGGGGTCGGCGCAGGCGCACTATATCCCAGAGGTGTGATGCACAGAGACCACGAAGAAGACCCTGCAGTTCCTGGGCTTTGTGTGATTTCCCCCCCACACACACACACCATTTCTTCTTGACTTTTCATTGCTTCAGTTTCCTGCACTTCAGCTTCTCCCCCCCCCCCCCCCCACACCCCCCTCCATACATTCTTTCTCCAGGAGCCTGCGGTTTCTCTCCCTATGGCCTGCTTTGCTCTCTATTTCAGCCATGCTGCCTCTGGAGATTCTTCACAACCCTTGGGACTGATTTCTCACTCGACACTGCTCATTCTCACAAGTAACAGTGCAACAACTAGGCACAGTCACACCCATTCAGCTGAATTAGAAGGGTGTAACTTTGTTCAGGACGGCGCTGCTAAATCTGCCTCCTCCGAAGGTAATGGCTCACAAAGGTTTCACGTCTAGCAGAAGGGAAACAAGCGACGACGAGTTTTTAATCTATAATAGATATGGATGTGTTTGTTTATAAAGATAAGAGTTCCAAAGCACAATTAAATAGATTACTTTAATTGTGCTTTATATTTCTATAATTACGTTAATCTGAATAACTCTGTGAGGGATGTCATTATTATTCTAATTTGAAAGACAGAGAAAATCCCCAGAGAGGTGGCGACCCGACCATTTGTTCCAAAGGAGAGTCAAACAGAAGTTAAAAAGTTGGGGCCAGACTCAGGCCCGTATCGTGCGTGGATCCCCCTTACAAAAAGTGTCCAACTTGTCCAGGATGCCGTGTGGCTGTACTGAAAACTGAATCAGAACCAGCACTCCATCCAGTTACACAATAACCAGGCTAGCATTTGAAGATCCCTTTGGCACTTGTTTAGTGCTTCGCAGAACTGCCTTCACCGGCAGGCAGGAAAAGCCGAGCTTCTAGCATGCTGGAACTTCTGGTATAAGTTTCCAAATGCACTTTTCAGAACCCAAGGAGTTATGGACAGTGTTCCCTCTAAGCTGCGTAGTCTTGTGAGCAAAAACTCTACTTTGTGAGCTACCGGCATTAAAGTTGTGAGCGAGTGAGATCTGGCTACTGCATACATTAGTTTGCTCTAGAGCCATCCTTCCTGAGCTAAGGCAAAAATGTGTGAGCCGGAGGCTAAAAAACTGTGAGCTAGCTCACACTGACTCAGCTTAGAGGGAACACTGGTTATGGGGCACTGGCCGCTGACCTCAGCCAGCCCCACGGTCATTCATAGCCTCCCCCTTCTTGAAACATGAGGCAAGGTGTCCTCTCTGCAGGGGCCTGGCGCTTATTTCTTTCTTTGCGAGCTTCCCCCTTATGCCTGGAGCATTAGCGGTCTCTCTCCCCCATGCAGCTTCGGATAGTTACAGAGCTCCAGTGGTTGTTCTACGGCTGCCAGACATGAGTCAATTTCAGAGCTGCCGACGAAGAAGAGGTCTACTCAACGCGGCGGTAAGAAAGGAACTGGCGGGATGTCCGCACCCACCCCTCTGGGCACGCGCGGTGGGGTTCCTGCGCATGCTCGAGGGACTGGGCGCGGAAATCCGTTAAAAGAGCTTGCTACAGCACCGATCAATCCAGCGCATGCGCACTAGATCCCATGGGTGTGAATGCACAGAGACCACGTCAAGATCGGATCGGTCGACACCCGCCATGCTAGCCTGCGCAGAGGAATCTGTAGCACCCAAACACTTGGCATTTCCCCTTCCCACTGATTCTATTTTTCTCTCTCAACAGCACTGTGACAGACCTTACTGCAGCAGGTACCTGACCCGCCACAGCAACTACAACTAGGACTCACCGTGACACACACAGTGCTGGTGCACAGTCTTCACCTGGGTGAGGAGGTGGTCTAAAGCTCCAGCTTGCCCCCTCCGCCGTGGTGCCCGCCCATCATACTCTCTCCAGTCTGAAAGGGAAGGTGATACAAAAAAGACAATAGAGACACAACAGCACAATGCATCGGGAGTCCCTGTCAATCCATTACTGTCCTCACCAGTTTATAGCCCAAGACAAAGCCCTGGTAAGCTATCGGGCCATTTCATATTCCTCAGGCCAAAGCCATTCCTCAAACACAAGCAAGCGATTGGCAATAGAACTACAGATCTTCTGAGCTGGTCGGCAGATGAAGACGGGTCAGGAAAACCTTGTTCTTAGACCAGCAGCCTTCACAACTTGGTCACCCCCTTCCCCAACACGAGCCCCTCCCACTGCACTGCTGCCATTGGGGCTCTCGTTCAGAGAAGACAGTGGGAGGAAGACAGGCATCTGCAGGGAAGAACTAGGTCTCATGTGGCAGACTTGGAGTTCACCATGCTCTGGGAGGTTGAAGACCACAGCCTCAGATTGTGTCTACAACCTGATCAGGGCTGGGTACGTGCCTCTGCTTTAAAAACTCAGTTCTCCATCGATGTGCAAATTAAGAAAATGTTCACACACTTCCCTATGCTTATGCTTCTAAGTATTGTATCGCTTTTTTTGCTATCCACAAAGAGGGGCTAAGCAGAGCACGGGCATCCCTCTTCCCCGACAACAGGAAGCCGCACTCTGAATTCTCAGTGAGACGTCACCAAGCACAGGTTAGACGTTTTCAAGAGTACTTGGGGATCTGCAGGCCTGGTAATACTTTGAGGAGGAATTCTCGACACGTGGCCCTGTCCACGATAGCCTGCTTTGTTCCCGGACAAAATATAGAGCCAGCCTCGCTACGATTCCCCCTTACTTTACATCCCAGGACACCAACTCAGGTTGAAGAGGTGGAAACCACCCCAGATGGCACAGAGCCAGCCAAAGACCACAGCAGTAGCCAATCGCGGGAACTGTTTGCCAGGATGATGGGCAGGGGTCATTTCGTAGAAAAAGAGCTAGGGGAACTCATTAGCATAACTCATTAGCATATGCCACACCCCCTCACATCATCGG